TGGCGTGCACTAGTAGTGTTGGTCGACTCAATTGACTAGTTGGTGGTGGTTGGCCAGCACAGGTGCCGGTTGGTTGGTTTATGGCCGGCCCAAGTGTTCAGCTGGATAGGGTTTATTGACTAAGGTGGCTGACCGGTTGAGCTCCTTTTGGACGGCCGATGGTAGCCGACTAGCTGAATGAAGATGACCAGCTTGGGTGGCCAACTTGACATGTGTGTGGCTTCTGGCGCGTCTCCGACAATGCAATCTCTCGGGCTTCACACAGCAATATTTTTAGGCTATATATGACGGCCCTCACCCCCCTAAGGTGGCTGATCGGTTGAGCTCCTTTTGGATGGCCGATGGTAGTCGGCTAGTTGAATGAGGATGACCAGCTTGGGTGGCCAACTTGACATGTGTGTGGCATTTGGCGCGTCTCCGACAATGCAATCTCTCGGGCTTCGCACAACAATATTTTAGGCTATATATGACGGCCCCCACCCCCAAAATTTTTACATCTTGGAGGCAAAACAATAATAAGAATGAAAAACTCTTAAATATAGGAAACTGACCTTCCTAGCCTCTAGCATTACAATCCTTTTGCCAGCCTTTGGTAAGTCCATTTTTTTTTTTGAAAGCATAATTACTTAAGTGCTCTTTTTTAAAATTTTTAGATATAAAAATTTTTCCTAACTCAAGTCTCACTTCTCACCCATAATTTCTGCTCATATCGAAACATCGCATTCGGCGGGTTGCAACTTTCGTTAGGTCTCATAAGGTTCTTATCACTACCTTCACAGGTATAATAGTCTCGTTTTGATTATCCAGGAGAGGCGAAACTAACAACCGTAGTTGGAGAAATGAGGAGTCGAGAAAACAAAAAAAGGGGAGAAGGAAATGAGGGGTCGAAAGTCTAGGAAGTGCATTTGCCCTATAAATCGACATGAGAGGCAAGACTTACCGAGATAAATTAAGCCGTGTGTTATTTCGATTGAAGGAGTACTTATGGGAGGAGGTCACGTCGAGCTTGGAGCGACTAGCGTGCGATCGTAGAGGCAGAAGTTGTGAAAAAGAAGAAGCGTGAGGAAGAAGAGGTCGGCCAACCCTAACCATGGCGCAAGAATTCATCTTCACAAAGGGAAGGAGCTTGAGTGTAGTTTGCGCTCTGTGTGACTTGATCTATTGATTGAAGGATGGCACACCCTTATCGAGAGGAAGAATGAAGAAGAGCGAATGACCTGTGTGCGAACGAAGATGTTATGTGCTTAGTGGGAATTGAACCAAGATGTAGGAGTATATATATATATATATATATAGAAAAAAATAAGATTTCATAAAGAAAAATATGAAATTTTATAAAAAAAAATAACGTAAAGTTAATAGTTAATTAAATTAGTAATTAAATTAAATGTTTGCAATATGAGCACTATATGTATGGTAGGTTTCCAATTTTAGAAGAGTCGACTTCAAAGCAAATAGCAAATCAATCGACATCAAGGTGAGTACTTGTACTTCTAATTAATGATAATATTTTAGTTGTTTTCAATTTTTTATGCATTAGTAGATAATGATATTTGCACAAATTATATTTTAATTTATATATTTTCTCTATTGATCACATCATTAGGAATCCTTGTAGTTATTTAATATCATGCATTGTTGTATGTTATATAGAGTATATTGAATTGAATCATTTGAATGCGACAAGCACATAAATGTTATATTTTTATTGACTGTTTGTATGTGCATGACTGACTATGGTAGAGTCGCACCTTATTGATATTAGTGGGGGCAACTAAGATACTCGTGCACGTATATGAAAAAAAATATTGAAATTAATGTATTTTAATTTACATAAGTTTTAGATGATGCTCCTTTAATGGTTATACATATATAGAGTGATTTTAATATGTCATTGATATAGTAAGATATTTTGAATGATGTTAAATATTTTAATTGATTTATTGAAATTAGCTTGACAGACATGCATTTTGTTTCATTTTCTCTTGTATTACTATGATTTATGAGTATGACAATTCACTGGTTTGTTTAGCTCATGATTATTTTAAGCAAACTTTTCAAGTTAATTATGTGATTATCAATGAGTAATAAAAGAGATAACATTTATAGAAGACACATACAGTCAGTAACCAAGTAATTTTATACATATTGTTTTAATATAAATTGATTAGTGACTCTTTAATGTATAAAATGTTATTTATAGAGAATGAATATGAAAAACTTAAATCCCACTGTTCGACAATTTGCTCTCATCTCGATTAATTTCAAGCCCCGGGCTGGATCTTAACAGTGGGAGTAACAATCAAGACTCGCTAGTAGGGTGATTTGCGTCTTACTTTTTGCGAATATTGTTGCTTTTGGCAGGGAAGCATCTCCATAGCTTTTTTCGAATCGAGCTTTGAGATGAGTTTTAGAGGTTTCTTTGAGTGTGAAGAGAGATTTTGGTTGCTCATAATGAAGGAGAGACTTTAGTAAAGAGAGAACTTAGAATACTCATCCCGGAGGAGAGGCTTCAAGAAGGAATATTTCATTTGCTAATCCCAAAGAAGAGGCTTTAATAGAGAGAGTTTATTTGTGACATAGAGAGATTTTATTTTCAAAATCTTTGCGATCTTTGGATGTTTGATTGAAGAGGTATAATTATTGAAGGCGACAATGTCAATATTATGCAGTTTCTATGTTCTACCATGAAGAATGAGACATGGCGACGAAAACTTCATGGGGGGGTCCGAGTTCTCTTCTCTTCTAAACCTTAAGGAAGTTCTGTTTTTTCATATACCACGCTTTTGTACCAGGGTCACTCATTATTGTTCTAAGTGTCCTCTTGGTAGTTCTTTTGTTATAATGGGTGTTGATGATGATAGGAGACTCTATAACATACTTGTATATGATAGATCTCACTTTTGTATATCATAAAAACATATTTATTTGTAACCTTTTGTTATAGTAATGCAAAAATGCAAATTTTCAAGGAAGGGAGGCTTTGTTGGAGATATATTTTTTTGTCATTTTCTTTTTTTTTTTCATTTTTTCAAATTTTTTTCTTAAAGAAAAGTAAACATGGTAAAGAAAGAGATGCTTGTCTTTTTGTCGGTTTGTACAAGATCTTCTTTTTTATGAAGTGTGAAAGAGATTCTTCCTTCTTCTTCTTACCTTTTCCCTTACTGTTTTTTTTTTGCTTTATCTTTTACTTTTTTCTTGTCATTTTTCATTTTACTCTTATCATTTTATTTTTTGTCTTGTCATTTGTGTTTTGTCTTGTTTTTCTTATCGTCTTCTTCTTTTTCTTCTTTATGTTTTTCTATCATGGACTTTCTCCAACTCGGAATGCTTATCCTCTGTTGATGACATTATCCAAGCTCAATGCATTGTTTAGATTGTTGAATCCTAATCTGTCCTTTGGATCATGCCCTGGAAATATACGTGAAACCAGATGAAGAAGGAAGAGAGAGAGAGAGAAACTTGCGCAATCGAGGGGCAAAGATGGGTGTTCTCTAGCACTTTGGCCCTATAACCTATAATTCTACACAAATAAGGATAAAAGTTGGAGAAGAAGGAAAGTTTGCTCACTACATAGGAGTTAAGAGAGAGGGTCTAGGGGCCAAGCGCGTAGGACTCGGGTCCCTTAATATATGCTAAGATCCTTCTATTTATAGGTAGAAAAGAGATGGAAGATTTTAATTATGCCCTTGATTTATTTTGGGTTGTAAGTGGTAATCCGATCATTTTCTTGCTTGATCCGGTGTCTTGGAACTTTCTCATCATAGGACTCATCAGAGTCAGGCGACCGGCCTTGGTGTTCGGCTTGCATGTAGCGGCCGGGCCCGGGAGTCAGGTTGTGGGGGGAGGGC